TGCAAAAAAAAAAAAAAACGGAGGGAAAGGAGGAAGGAATAAATCACACGGTCTTGATTGCGTGTACTTGATACTCAAAAGGCAAATTTTATAGAAAAGATATAGAAAAAAGAAAGCAGGGATATGAAAGAGTTAGACTTTGTTAGGTGGTTGTCTGCCATAGCAAAAAAAATATTGGATTAGAATAAGAAAGTGGCTTGAAGAGATAACCAAATAACAAATGGAACTGAAACCGGAAACATTCCTATTAGACATACTTACAGAAAATTATGATAAAAAAACACAATACTTAAAATTACATGCCATAACTGCAGCCAGAATTGTGTTTGCGCAGAACTGGAAGAATAATACTACACCATCAGAGGAAAGTGCAGTAAGAAAAGTGCTATGTGCTGAGATGGATAAACTAACAAAAGAAATAAAAGATAAAGGAGAAAGGGAATATTATTTGGTATGGAATGAATGGTATACATGGTTAGAGGATAGGTGCAAAAGATAAGAAAATCATCAAAGAAAGAAGACTTGGGAGTTAGAAAATAGGAATAAATCTGTATAAATATATAGGACACAAAAATGTATGTTTATAAATTAGTATATTAATATGTTAATATGTATAAAGGATAATGGAACCACATGTATAGATATATAGATGTAAGGTGGAAAAATGGATATATAGCGGATGTATACCGATGCGGAAATGTTGCAAAGAGGAAAACTTAAAAACTTTTAAAAACTCTTTAATATATTTTTTTTAAAGAAAGAGTTAGGCTTTCCTGATGGAAAATCAATGACCTTGATCTGATCATTAGTGGGATAAAAATGTAAATATTGGGTATAAATACTGGGATCTTTGCCAAACCTTTAGCTGTGGATTTCAACTGTCCCTGGAATATAAGGAAGCTCAATATATTGCAAAAGACTAAATCCAGAGCCTAACCATTATAAACCTAGGACACTTAAGTTCTCGTCCCTTCCTTCCTTCCTTCCTTCCTTCCTTCCTTCCTTCCTTCCTTCCTTCCTTCCTTCCCCTCTGTTGGTCCTTCTACCTCAGTATTTCAATAACAGCAACTTCCCAGGGATTTCTCCTAACCCATATAAGAAATCCTGGGAATTGGACTGGCCTGCCAGAGGTCAAGAGCCCTGACCCTGATCCCTAACAGCTGGGCTTGGCAGTGAAGATGACTCATAGGCCAATGATTCTGTAGCTGAGATTCTTTTATAATTCCACACCCTTCAAAAACTCTCTTCTCCCACATCCTCAAATTCAGAAGCGGACAAATACAGATGTCATCCAATAACCCATCCGTCTTGCCACAACCAGAGTTTAGACTATGAGCGCAGTCTCTTTTAGATGCATTATTTCTAGACGGGGATGTGGCTGCATTTTTTAAAGACTATTCTTAAGCTCAATTTTAAAGTTTTCTTGGCAACAGCATGGAAGTGGTATGCTCTTGTCTTCTCTTACAGTGCTTGGACATCCCACTTTAGTGTTCCTCGTACAGGTATTAACTAAGAGAATTGAGACCAGAAAATCCATTGTTAAGCAATGTTGGAAGTTGAAAAACCAGATGATTGTGCTGGTTAACCATGACGGTTTTGGCACTTCCTGACAGTTAGAACAATTACCGTAATCATTGGAATGACTTGTCTCCAGAAGTTGTGAATGCTCCAACACTGGAGGTTTTTAAGAAGAGATTGGACAGCCTTTTGTCCGGAATGGTTATAGGGCAGTGATGGTTAACCTTTTTGGTGCCGAGTGCCCAAAGCTCGCATGCAACTCGCGCAAATGCACATATGGGTGCCCGAACTCCTAAAATGCGATATGAGCACCCCCCATGCATGCGCCCTGCACCCCCTATGCCCCATTTTGGCTTTCAGGTTGGTGCAGGAGGCTTTCCAGGCCCAAAATGGGGCATGGGGGGGCGTATGCATGAACTCCCAAAATACAATGCGAGCGCCCCCTGCACATGCGCCCCGCCCCCCATGCATGGACCCCACCCACTGCTCATGCACGGCAGAGACCCAAAGACCAGCTGGCTGGTGGGAGGTGTGTGCGCATGCGCGGTGGAGCTGGGCTGGGGCAACGGCTGGTGTGCCCACAGAGAGGGCTCTGCGTGCCATAGGTTCGCCATCACGGTTATAGAGCAGTGATGGTTAACCGTCTTGGCACCGAGTGCTGAAACTGGAGCGCGCGCTGGAGCGCTTGAACCTGGAAGAGAGCAGATGGCTGGTGCACATGCGTGCGGTGGACAGCTGCTCTACTGGGTTCCTGTCGCGCGCATGTGCGCTGGCCAGCTGCTCTCTTCTGGGTTCGCGCGGAACCCGAAAGAGAGCAACTGGCCAGTGGGAATGCACACCGGACCAGCTGGCCAGCACACATGCGCATGACGGAACCCGGAAAAGCAGCTGCGATGGCACGCATGCCCACAAAGAGGGCTCTATGTGTGACCTCTGGCACACTTGCCATATGTTCACCATCACGGGTATAGAGTCTCCTACTTGAGCAGTGGCTTGGATTAGAAGACCCACAAGGTCTCTTCCAACTCTCTTATTTATTTATTTATTATTTATTTATTTATTTATTATTTAAATTTTTATACCACCCTTCTCCCGAGGGACTCAGGGCGGTGCACAGCCACAATAAAACAACGTATCTCCGTAAAATTTAAAAACAATTTAAAACATATTAAACAATTTGGCCCTTATATTAAAAAACTAAAAAACTAAAACACCCATTAAAATTCGTTATTTTAAGCCAGCCCAGCCTGTTGAAACAGTAAAGTCTTAAGGGCACAGCGGAAGGTACGTATGTCGGGGATCTTATGTATCTCCGGGAGGAGTTCATTCCAGAGGTCAGGTGCCCCCACAGAGAAGGCTCTCCCCCTGGGGGGGTCGCCAGTCGACATAGTTTGGCTGCCGGTACCCTGAGGAGTCCCTCTCTGTGGGAGCATATTGGCCGGTGGGAGGCTATCGGTGGCAGAAGGCAATCTCGTAAGTACCCAGGTCCTAAGCCATGGAGTGCATTAAAGATGGTAACCATCACCTTGAATTGCACCTGGAAGACCAGTTATTCTGCTAACTGTTAACCTTCCCAACCTAATATTCCACCCCATCCCCAGAGTTATGTTACACCACAACTCCCATCATCTCCAACTATCATAAGTTAGAAAATCAACGATTTTAGGCATCATCGCGAACCTATTTTTAAAATCAATCTTTTAGATGGAAATCTTTTGCATCCATATTGGTTGTGTCTCTAGCTATAAAACTCTACCTCCTGCTATTACTGTCTCCCCTGCTACCACCAGAGGAAGTGGGGTGAGGGAAGAGAAAAAAAAAAAAACGATTCTGCCAGAGCAGAGCGTTTGTTTTTATTAAAACTACCCGGGCAAATTGTCTGCAGAGTTTATCTGGCCAAAAGAAACATGAGTACCGTATCACTAACAATTGTTAGGACGCTCTTCTGCAAAGGCCATACAAGGAGAAGTTTTATCAGATTTTTGCAAATGTTTAAAGGGCAGTTAATAATCAAGCTTTGCACGAGCATGGAGCCATCAAGGTAAGAGAGCACCAAGTATGGTTATGCTGTGTTGGGTCTTAAAAGCGTCCGTGGCTTTGACAAATCTTAGAGGGCTTCACTGAACTCAACAGAGCTCCAGCAAGACCGCCTACTATGTTTTGAGAGAGAGAGAGATTTGCACAGCGTAATCCGTTTGTTAAAAATGTGCTTAACTGTGTCTTGTTAAGCGTAGGCCTTGTTCTCTTGGCCAAACTCAGGGTAACTCGGAGTGCACGTGTCTCCAGGTTCTTCACGTTCTGAGACTTTAGGAGAATGTGTATACAAATGTACATCATGAACATTCTTTAAAGCTCTTTTTTTCTCTCCCCCCCTCCTCCAAAACTGTTTTGGGGTTACCTGGCTAGAATTCTACTTTTGATTAACAATAATAGGGATAGGAATAGGAATAGGAATAGGGGTAGGGTAGGGTAGGGTAGGGTAGGGTAGAGGAGGAGGAGGGGGAGGAGGAGGGGGCGGAGGGGGGGGAGGAGGAGGAGGAGGAGGAGGAGGAGGAGGAGTGCGTAGCATAGCATAGCATAGCTTCTTCACGTCTGCCACGCCTTGGTGGCGCAGCAGGCTAAAGTGCTGTTAAGTAGCACCAGCTGCCTGCAATTACTGCAAGTTCAAATCTCACCAGGCTCAAGGTTGACTCAGCCTTCCATCCTTTCGAAGTAGGTAAAATGAGGACCCGGATTGTGGGGGCAATAAACTGACTTTGTATAAAAAAGAATACCGCTTAGGGTGGGCCAAAAAAGCCCTACTAAGCAGGTATATACAAAAGTATGCTATAGCATAGCATAGCATAGCATAGCATAGCATAGCATTCTTTATTGGCCAAGTGTGGTTGGACACACAAAACACCAATCTCAAAATATAACCTATACATAATCAAAATCAACAATAATAAACAATAGCTTTTCTTTTCTTTATTTAGTTAGGTTTGTTAATCTCGTATTTTATTTATTTCCTGCCTTTATTGTTTTTGTAAGTAACTCAAGGCAGCAAGCATACCAATGTAGCTTCCTCCCCCTATTTTTTTTTTTATTAATTTGATTTATATGCCGCCCTTCTCCGGAGACTCAGGGCGGCTTACAGTGCGTTAAGCAATAGCCTTCATCCTTTTGTATATTTATACAAAGTCAGCTTATTGCCCCCACAAACTGGGTCCTCATTTTACCTACCTTTGAATGGATGGAAGGCTGAGTCAACCTTGAGCCTGGTGAGATTCGATCTTACTTTAATTGCAGACAGCTGGTGTTAAATTACAGTGCTCTGTCTGTTGAGCTATCCAGGTTCCCCACAACAACAGCCTTGTGAGGTGAGTTGGACTGAGTTGGTGTTTATTATTATTGTTGTTGTTGATATTGTTATTAATGTTATTAATAAAAATATGAGTTTATTGAACTAACAGGTTTTTTTTGTTTTTATTTTTCCCCCTTAGCGTTCTGGGTCATGAAACTTAATCCACAGCAAGCTCCATTGTATGTGAGTAAACCATTTTTTTCCCCCCAATTTACATTTTCCATCTGGGGATTTAGACATTAGGAAATCGTTACGGCTTATCAATTCACTGAATCAGATGCTGTCAGTGGGATAATTTTAATAATTAAAACCTGTGGTGTGATGGATGGAGGAGTGTTGGCAATATTTGTGCCTCAGCTTGGAACGCTCATGAACAGAATATAGGTGAGCAAAATTGTGAGCAGCCCTCTTTGCAAGCAGGAACATGTTCTCCTATTTCTTTGGAGTTCTCCAAAGATACTACCTGATGCAGGTAGATCTCTGACTTGGTTGCCTTTTCAGCCACTATCTTATGATCTTATGGGCACCAAAAGTAAAGTTATACAACGAATCCAGAAATAGTACTTGATTATTATAGGATGTATGAACACAAACTTGAAAGCCTGTTCAACAGCCTTCACTGGCCCTTTTGAAGGACAACCAGGTCAAAGCAAGTTTCTTCTAACTCCTTTCTCATACTTTCTACTTTCTGATCAATTGTTTTGCCTCCCCCTACTTCTCAAGGCCAGAACTACATTCCTTGCTCTCCCTTGCTGTCCAGAAGACCCAAATCTCATGAGGTTTTGACAACCTCATCTCGAAGAGATCACATATAGAATAGAATAGGAGAGTTGGAAGGGACCTTGAAGGTCTTCTAGTCCAACCCCCTGCTTAGGCAGCAAACCCTACACCACTTCAGACAGATGGTTATCCAACATTTTCTTAAAAACTTCCAGTGTTGGAGCATTCACAACTTCTGGAGGCAAATTGTTCCACTGATTAATTGTTTTCACTGTCAGTAAGTTTCTCCTTAGTTCTAAGTTGCTTCTCTCCTTGATTAGTTTCCACCCATTGCTTCTTGTCCTGCCCTCAGGTGCTTTGGAGAATAGCTTGACTCCCTCTTCTTTGTGGCAACCCCTGAGATATTGGAAGACTGCTATCATGTCACCCCTAGTCCTTCTTTTCAAAAGACTAGCCAGGCCCAGTTCCTGCAACCGTTCTTCGTATGTTTTAGCCTCCAGACTCCTAATCATCTTTGTTGCTCTTCTCTGCACTCTTTCTAGAGTCTCCACATCGTTTTTAGATCGTGGCGACCAAAACTGAATGCAGTATTCTAAGTGTGGCCTTACCAAGGCATTATAATGTGGTATTAACACTTCATGTGATCTCGATTCTATCCCTCTCTGTTTTTGCAGCCTAGAACTGTGTTGGCTTTTTTGGCAGCTGCTGCACACTGCTGGCTCATATTTAAATTATTGTCCACTAGGCCACGCCCTGATGCGGCCCTCAATGAAATTGAATTTGACACCCCTGGTCTAGCCTAGCAAAAAGAAGGATTAGGAGGGGACATGGTAACTGTTTTCCAGTACTTGAGGGCCTGTCCCAGAGACTTGTTCTCCAAACCACATGAGGGAAGCACAAGAAATAATGGATCGAAGCTTGCCAAGGAGAAATCCAACCTAGAAGGAAGGAGCAATTTCCTGACAGTGAGAATTCAGTTCAAATCTTTATTGTCAGTGCCCAACATATTTACAATGAGATTGGTGGAGCTCCCTCAGTGCAACCCCCCCCCAACACAATACAACTCATAGTGAAAAAATCCCTAACCCAATAAATCATATTAACAAAACACCCAGTCCTATTGCATCAGTGTGAGCATGTTACACATTGCGCCAGCCCTGCAGTCCATCACACTACGTAGTTATGATGTTAAGACCAATTAATCAATGGAATAGTTTGCTTCCTAGAGTTGTGAGATGGCTCCATTGCTGGAGGTTTTCAAAAATAGACTGAACAACCATTTGGCCGGGATGGTATAAGGTCTCCTGCCTTGAGAGGGGGTTGGACTAGAAGACCTCTGAGGTCTCTTCCAGCCCTATTATTCTATGTTCTATGTAATGTACAGACAGATCTGGCAATCGACAATCCCAGTCCTGCTCATCATTAACCCAAACTGGCCAGGGCATAAGTTTGAGTTGTCCAGAACTTGGAAAACCAAAGATATCTCATCACCAGCTTTAAATACCAAGAGTGCTCAGTTCTAACAAAATAGCTCGGGAAGAAATCAATATGCTTTTCATTGGTTTGAGTAGCACATCGTATTAATGCACAGTGTGATTTTCCCCCTTTGTTATTCTTAACCCAGCAAATTGTGGTTTATTTGATAAACCACAATCATAATTAGGCACGTAGCATCATAGGAAACACAAACTTTGTTATTTCATTGATCTGTATGAATTTTTTAACTGGAGCTGATATAGTTTTGCTTTCAAAGTTTATACAGATGATGGGATTTTCTTGTAACTCGATGAAGAGAATAATCTCTTAACCCCTGACTACAAAATGAAGCTGCAGGGAAATGTGGAAACTGTTTTTGGGTTGGCTTGCAATGTGTGGAGCGAAAGCCTACAGAACCTGGCTGATATCTGGAAGAGAGGCAGTTTTGCTCTGACATATTATCTCCCAGAATCCCTTGTAACTTACCCAGAATCCCTTGTAACTGACTGCAGCATGGTCTCTCCAGAATCCTTTGCAACAGCTTAAGAGTTCTTTGTGGCATGGAGAAGAGGTTGTTGCTAAGTTTTTATGGAAAGCTGACTTCCCCCATTGCTCAAGATTTGACAACCTCTGGATGGAACTGTTGAGCTTGTTACACATGAGAATTTGGGACCCAAACTATTCATTTTTCAACTCTGAACTTAACTTTTTCCCTTTTCTCTCCTTTCCCCCCTCGTTCTCAGCCTTGGATGAGAGCAGTAGAGCGCCACCCAGTGGCTTCTGTTAAACCTGCCCCATAGCTTTTAATCATGATCCCCAAAAATTTTCTGGGCTGGGGAATTCTGGGAGTTGAAGTTCACACATCTTCAAAGTTTGCCAAGGTTGAAAACGACTGGTTTAGAAAACTTGGATGTTTGAGAATGTGAACATCCCAAAGCTTCTCCGTGAGAGGACGATGGATTTTCTCTTCCCCACTATTCTTCTCTGCATTTTAGAATAAGTTGCTAGCACATTGTCTGTGCCCCATTCAAAAGCATAAATACTTTTAGATAAATTGCTTCATGAAAGTTCAAAAATATAAGTCACATTCTGTGTGACTTCATTGTACTTCTTTTGAACAACAAGCCATTTTGTATATCACAAACTCTTCCTACCATGTTGGACGCACTTAATAAATGTTGCCTCTGGCCATTGCCTGCTTGTCAAAAGATTTGATGAAAGGTGTCAGGGAGGATTTTAAGTTCACCTCCTTGGACAATTGTCCTTGAGCATTTGGGATACGGATTCATAGCCAGCTGTGAGGTGAACAGTTGCCAACTGCCCCCCCCGCCGTAACTTCACAGTTTGATATTAATCATCCAGTGCTATCAAGCAGAATGAATGTGTTATGAGTAAGTGTTGAGTATTTGTTGTCCGCCTGACATTCTACATTTAGTAATAGTAATCAAAAAGCTTGCCCTGCAGTCTAAAGCACAAGCAATCCAAGCAATTGTGTTGACATGTATATTTCCTGAAATTAGTTGGAGATTGGAAAGAGACCGGCATTTCTCTTTAAGGGGTACAACATGTGTCAAAACAAGAACATTTTCTAGTTGCATGATCCTTACATTATCCATGCTTCACCAATGTGCCTGCTGGGAATTTGCTTTTTCTGAAGAGCGGATGGCATTGAAAGAAAACTTTCTTCTGATCCAGGAGAACGTACTTTCTGTTAGAACTCCTTTATTGTCAGGCGCAACAAATTGGGGCCGTACTTTAAGTTGCAGTTGCAGACAATTTGCTGCTCAAAACTATATACAAGAATCTGGTCAACTAAAGTTCAGTACTAAATTGGCGACAGATAAAAAGGCTAATGGAATTTGAGAGGAGTTGGACTTAGACCCTTTGTGGGAACATAATGACTCTAGGATGATGTCTTGCTTAACTCGGCCCTTCCAAGCTCCTCCTCCTCTTCTCCTACATCAATATCCTTTCCATTGGCTATTCTAGCTGCTGGGACTTGGAATCTATAAGAAGAGTTTGGTTGGATTAATCCAAAGTCCATCTCAGTCCAGCTTTCTGTATTTCAGTCTGGACAGCCAGGTGGCTCTGAAGTGCTCACCTGCAGATGGAGGCACACACAACTCTCTCTGCCTATTATTTCTCTGCAGCCTGAATTTGGAGATATGCTTTCCCCCAATCTAGAAGTAATATTGGATAAACCTGGATAGGATTGTCTTCAGGGGTGAAATCCAGCAGGTTCTGACAGGTTCTGGAGAACCGGTAGCGGAAATTTTGAGTAGTTCAGAGAACCAACAAATACCACCTCTGGCTGGCCTCAGAGTGGGGTGGGAATGGAGATTTTGCAATATCCTTCCCCTTGGAGTGGGGAGGGAATGGAGATTTTGCAGGATCCTTCCCCTGTCACGCCCACCAAGCCACGCCCACAGAACCGGTAGTAAAAAAATATTTGATTTCACCACTGATTGTCTACCATGAATTTGTCCAGGCTACTTTATAGTCATCAAGTGATTAGCTAAGTCTGTGACTTCTAATGAATGCTGCAAGTTAACTATGGTTAATTAAGTCCCAAACTGAGATCATTTCAACTACATCCTAAATTGCTCTGCAGCCCACTTTATATCCAAATGTTTTTGTTCACCAATGTTCTTGAACACAGATGGAGCAAATAACCTTGTCCAGGAAAGTAATATGGAGATAACCTCGAAGAATGAATGCCAGAGCATTCACCATAGCCCTGAAACAGAGGAGGGAATGAGAAGGAAGCAGGGGGTGGGGGTGGGACCTGTCTTTTCTTGATTCCCTTTGGTGGAGAGGAGAAAAAAATCTGCCTGGTTTAAAGGACTCTGAAGGGTCCTTGGTGCTCTCTGAGTTTGCTGGTTTTCTTGCAGATGTTTCGCTACCTAAGTAAAACCATCAGTTCTAATAAGGAGTTACTAGTCCTTACTATAAGGGACATGGTGGCTCAGTGGCTAAGATGCTGAGCTTGTTGATGGAAAGGTCGGCAGTTCAGCGGTTCAAATCCCTAGTGCCGCGTAATGGTGTGAGCTCCCATTACTTGTCTCAGCTTCTGCCAACCTAGCAGTTCGAAAGCAGGTGAAAAATGCAAGTAGAAAAATAGGGACCACCTTTGGTGGGAAGGGAACAGCGTTCCGTGCTCCTTTGGCATTGAGTCATGGCGGCCACATGACCACAGAGACGTCTTCTGACAGTGCTGGCTCTTCGGCTTTGAAATGGAGATAAGCACTGCCCCCTACAGTCAGGAATGACTAACACATACGTGCGAGGTGACTCTTTACCTTTTCCTTAGTCCTTACTAGCACTGATGTTACCTAGTTTGGGTAATGAAACATCTGCAAGAAAACAGGCAAGCTCAGAGAGCTCCAAGGACCCCTCATGTCAACCCTGAGCTATAAATAATCTCCTTTATTAAATGATTCTGTTATTATACTTTTAACAATAGAGTTCCAACATTTCTCCCAGTATCTTCCCCTGACATGTTCTGATGATGTTTCTACCAAAGAGAACTTAATTACTAATGGACTGTGAATTGGGTGGAATTGACCTTTATATCAGAAAGACATTTTTGGCATCAATTCCAGGCAATTGGTTGCCTAATAGTGGGTTTTGTAGGAGAAGACCAGTCAGAGCCATCCTCAGTTTGAAGTCTCTACATCCATGTAAGAGACCTAAGTCCAGCCCCCTTTGAAGTCCATTGACATTGCTGTTGTTGTTATTGTTAGTTGCGAAGTCATGTCCAATCCATCGCAACTCCATGGACAACGTTCCTCCACGCCTTCCTGTCCTCTACCATCCTCTGGAGTCCATTTAAGCTCACACCTACTGCTTCAGTGACTCCATCCAGCCACCTCGTTCTCTGTCATCCCCTTCTTCTTTTGCCCTCACTCTTTCCCAGCATTAGGCTCTTCTCCAGGGAGTCCTTCCTTCTCATTAGGTGGCCAAAGTATTTGACTTCTATCTTCAGGATCTGGCCTTCTAAAGAGCAGTCAGGGTTGATCTCCTCTAGGACTGACCGGTTTGATGGCCTTGCAGTCCAAGGGACTCGCAGGAGTCTTCTCCAGCACCAGAGTTCAAAGGCCTCAATTCTTTGGCGCTCAGCCTTTCTTATGGTCCAACTTTCATTGACGTTATCTGGCCCCAATTCACCTTGCCCATACATAGAATCAGATTCTTGCGTATTGGTAGCATGAAATAAACTCATAGTACTTTTGAACTATGCACAGGTACCGTATATGTATACAGGTACCGTAAATGCACAGGTACCGTATATGAAAATGCACAGGTAACGTATATGTGGTACCTTGCTCAATACTAGTAACTGTGAGAGGGATCTTGGAGTCCTAGTGGACAACCATTTAGATATGAGCCAGCAGCTGCCAAAAAAGCCAACACAGTTCTGGGCTGCATAAACAGAGGGATAGAATCAAGATCACGTGAAGTGTTAATACCACTTTATAATGCCTTGGTAAGGCCACACTTGGAATATTGCATTCAGTTTTGGTCGCCACTATGTAAAAAAAGATGTCGAGACTCTATAAAGAGTGCAGAGAAGAGCAACCAAGATGATTAGGGGACTGGAGGCTAAAACATATGAAGAACGGTTGCAGGAACTGGGTATGTCTAGTTTGATGAAGAGAAGGATTAGAGGAGACATGATAGCAGTCTTCCAATATCTCAGGGGTTGCCACAAAGAAGAGAGCATCAAGCTATTCTCCAAAGCACCTGAGGGCAGGACAAGAAGCAATGAGTGGAAACTAATCAAGGAGAGAAGCAACTTAGAACTAAGGAGAAATTTCTTGACAGTGAAAACAATGGAATAACTTGCCTGCAGAAGTTCTGAATGCCCCAACACTGGAAATTTTTAAGAAGATGTTGGATAACCATTTGTCTGAAGTGGTGTAGGGTTTCCTGCCTGGGCAGGGGGTTGGACTAGAAGACCTCCAAGGTCCCTTCCAACTCTATTATTCTATTTTATTCTAACTCTAACCTGGCTCCTGACTTCTTGCAGCTGGCAGGTTCTTCTCTTAATTAAAGGTTGAGGCTTCCAGGAGAGTCACTTAGATGAGAGGGGCAGTTTAGAAATTGAGTGAATAATTAAAAAGATTGTGAGGGCAGGATTCAAAAGAAACCAAAAGAACAAGAACCAAATGGGGGTTCTTGAAACCCCATTTTCCTGCTGCCCCCAGCCCCTTTCGGAAATCCTTCCACACATCTCCACCTTTTCGGAAAGGTTTGTGACTCGAAAGAAAAGACTGTTTTTAAGTGTCTGCTGAATGGTGGAAAACGATCTGTTTTCATTGGCAGTGGGGCTCCAAGCCAAGTCAACGTTAGTCAGTCCAAACTAGGTACGAAATTAACTTATACTTTTGTTTGCCTGTCTGGGCCAAACATTTGCTTTGATCTCAGGAGCCTTTTCCTCCAAATGAGACTTGGCAAGGCCAGCTAGTCATTTGTTAGCTGCTTTAAGTGAAGGGGGTTATAATAATCACCTTGTGCGGTTGTGATCTCTAACAGATGACATTATTTGAGTAATAATAAACCAGGGAAAGTAAACATGCTCGAATTAAACGGCTCTTTCGGAGCTCAAGGCAACCTTGCTGCTGCAAAGGGGGAAGCTTTCCTCGATGGCAAAATTCTGGATTTATTTAAACCAGGATGCTTGGCACTCTGAAAGGTGTGAGTGAGCCTGTCTTCCTAACAAGCTGATTGGGTGGGTGGGAGATACAGGTAGTTTTTGACTTATGACCACAATTGACCCCAACATTTATGTTGCTAAGTGGGACAGTTATTAAGTACCATATTTTTCCGAGTATAAGATGCACCTTTTTCCCCCTCTAAAAGAGGCTGAAAATTTGGGTGCATCTTATACTCGGAATGTAGCTTTTTTGAAGCTTTTTTCCAGCCCTAACCAGGCGCTAGGAGTGAAGCGCTTTGCTTGGTCCCTCCGACTCTCAGCTGTGAATTTTTTTTTTCAGCCCTAAGGAGGCGCTAACGAGGCACTAGTGAGTGAAGCGAACTTCCCAGCTTTGCCTGCTCCCGTCGACTCTCCTAATAATCATAATGTTATTACTCCTAGTTATTACATTTCATTTTCATAGTTTCATATACACATATCTTTCACTATTACCCTTCAATTCTTTTTTTAAAATTTTAAAAACAAACTTTATTGAGTTTAAAAATTTTAAAACACAAAAATATACAAATTGTTCTCAATCATAAAATTACATATACAATACACAACTCCACAAACAAACTAAATATATGTAATTATATGTACACACATATATAAACAGTGACTTATTACCTATTCTATCTACCTGACGGTGCTTATTTGTTACATTTGATTTTTCCTAAATTTGGTCTTTACCCTTTTTTCTTTTGATTTATCCACTTATACCATCTATTCCATACTTTAAAATATTTTGAGTCTTCCTTGTCTTTTAATTCTAAGGTTAGTTTATCCATTTCTGCACGTGCGTAAATTTTTTGAATTACCTCCTGATCCGTTGGCAAGCGATCTTACCCTTCAATTCTAAACCTTCCTTTTGTTCTTTCATATGCCTTCGTGTCAATATAACTATCTATCTATCTATCTATCTATCTATCTATCTATCTATCTATCTATCTATCTATCTATCTATTATTATTCCCCTCTTATTTCTATCTTAATTTTAATTTGCTTTTTTTCCTTTCCAATGTCACTACAATATTCAAAGACGTGTTGTTTTCCCCCACTTCCTTTAGTTAACTCTTCACATCAATTGATATCAAAAATTCATCCTTCAATCTTTCATTATTCATTGCCTCAATGTACACTCCTAGTACCAATCACAATAATTAATACATAATTCTATAATACAGAGTACAATTTTATTAGTACACATATGTACTCTGCTCAAAAAAATAGTTCTTAGTAAGACCCACTTGTATTTTTTTCCCTTCTAGCATCAAATTTTTTAATTCATCCAATTTGTCATAATAACATATGCTATTTTACTCATTATGGTTGGTTGCACAGTTACCCAAATGTTTAGATTGGATATGGAATTTTTATCCACCCACAGGACAGGTACAGACCTCATCGGATAGTTAGGATTGCAGAAAAAACAACTGCAACAGCCCGCCTTCCATTGAGGATCTGTATGTATACTGCACGAGCCAGAAAGAGGACTGAGAAAATATCTATAGACTCCTTACATCCTAGACATAAACTGCTTCAACTTCTTCCCTTGGGATGGCGCTATAAGGCATTGCATGCCAAGACAACTAGACACAAAGTTTTTTTCGCTCTGCTAAACACCTACTACCCTCAGCACTGTCTTATGCCTAAAGATATTTTGTAGTAGGGCTGTATTGTTATAATTCTTCTTCTCATCTTCTCATCCTTCTCATCTTATCTTTCGTACTACTTTCTCCTATTGGTACGTTATGATCATGATTGTATCTTATGATTTATGATTTACGACTTACCACTATGTTGTTGTTTGTATGTACATTGAGAACTTATGCACCGGAGACAAATTCCTTGTGTGTCTCATTATAGTTGACCAATAAAGAATATTCTACCGAGTCCTTCCCAAAATCCGGGAAAGGAACATGTTGTTTAATAACTTTAAAGATAACGTCACAGGATGTAAGCTGTTCCAAGCAAAGCTGCCTTTTGAAATTGACTGATGTTAATTTTGTCAATGCCAATGGTGTTCAAGTGGGGCTCCAGATGTTTTCGGATTCCACCTAAGACGCCTATTACTAAACGGGCCTATTTCATCATTGGATGTTAAAATTTTGTTAAAACTAAAAGTTCATACTCGTCTCTTTTTTTCTTCTTTCCCTGGATCCCTTAGGGTGACTGCATAATCACCATATTGCTTACTGAAGATGATCACGTTGAAAGCGACGATGTAATTTTTTACCTCGTTTTTACTGGATCCGCCCTTCAACACTGCACCAGCACTAGGAAGCTTGATTCAGGGAGGCTGGAAACCGTTGCTCCAGGTAAGCTCTGCTCTATTTACTTGCAAAAATAGAAGGGGTGAAATCCTATCCATCCCTTCACGCAACTCTTATTGCATTGGGTCCGTGCATCTGAATGGCGAGTGAATACAAAATTGGCACTCCCCCCATAGGAGCAGCAGCAATGTGCCCGGGCACTGAATGGGCAAGTGTGGTTTGATTGTAAGCCAGTTTGCCCAGGAAGAACTGGGCTGTAACTTGGACAGAAAGATGGACAGAGTACCACACTTCCAGCAAGTAACTTCTTTATCGGGGAAAAAGGGAGGTGGAGAAGTAGAGGTGAAAACCACGGAGTACTGAGCTTCTAGGACTGAGTTCACACCACAGCCTTTAACTCTGAATCCAGCTTAGTAAATGAGAGTTTGGTGGTTTGCTTGAACCAGTATTTGCATTATCACTCAACAATGTCAGGCAAGAAGTGGTTCTCCCAAGCATCGTGAACCACTAAGCCTCCACTTCCAGCATAGGGGAGATTGGGTGAAATGTCACTGGTGAAGTGGGTTTTTAAAAAACAGTGCAGCATCCAGAGAGGATGGTGCCCTTTGCTCGCTCTAGAAAAACAGTAGGGCTTTCAAAGAATTGCTGGCACTAATTATATGGTGGGAATTCTCCTTCCTCCCCCTCCCTCTTTTTTCTTTCCTTTCTCTTTCTCTCTTTTCCTTGCTTCCTTCCTCCCTCCCATCATCTCCCATCATTCCCGCCTGGACTACTGCAATGCTCTCTACATGGGGCTCCCCTTGGGGTGCACCCGGAGGCTCCAACTGGTCCAGAATGCGGCCGCGTGGGGGATTATGGGAGCAACGGGGTGCTCCCATGTGACACCCCTCCTGCGCGAGCTGCACTGGCTTCCAGTGGTCTTCCGGGTGCGCTTCAAGGTGTTGGTGACCACCTTTAAAGCGCTCCATGACTTAGGGCCTGGGTATCTACGAGACCGCCTTCTGCCGCCAATAGCTTCCCACTGGCCAGTACGCTCACACAGAGAGGGGCTCCTCAGGGTGCCGTCGGCCAGACAATGTCGGCTGGCGACCCCCAGGGGGAGAGCCTTCTCTGTGGCGGCACCTGCCCTCTGGAACGACTTACCCCCAGAGATACGTATAATCCCGGATCTCCGGACTTTTCGTCAGGCCCTTAAAACTCACTTATTTCATCTAACCAGGCTGGCTTGATCCCATCTTTCGGATTTAATTCATAATTGATTTTATTGGGGTGTTTTTAAATTGTGGGCCGAAATTATTTAATATCTTTTAAAATTGTTTTAAATTTTGTATGCTATGTTTTATCTTGGCTGTTCACCGCCCTGAGTCCTGCTAGAGAAGGGCGGTATAAAAATCAAATCAAATAAATAAATAAATAATTTTTCCTGCCTGCCTGCCTGCCTGCCCGCCTTCCTTCTCTCCTTCCCTCCCTCTTTCTTCTTCCCTTTCTCTTTCTCTTTGCTTGTTTCCTCCCATCATCTTCCTTCCTTCCTCCCTCGCTCCCTCCCCCTCTCCCTTTGCAAAATGCTCTGCCTACTTAGTTTTCTTTTAATTCTTAAAAAGAAAGAGTTCTTAATGTTTGCTAGGCCTTTAGGAAACCTAAACGTTAGCATTTCTTTTATTTGCATTTCATGTTTTCATTTTAATGGATCACATTAAGGATAAATGTAAGGGTTTTGCAAACCCAAGAAGAGCGGGGTCGATGTTTCTGAAATTAAGGCTCTGTATACAAAGTTTGCATTACCGAGAACTGAATGTTGTCATTTCCTTTGCTCTGAATAATTTTGCTGCTTCAACTCATTGGAGAGGCAGGGAGTGGCGTCTCCACCCATTGTCCACTGGAAATTGGATTCAGTCATTTTTTGCAGCGTGTCATAGGGTCAACCTCCCCATCTCCTGATGGAACTGGGAAAGACTCTCTTTTCAAACAACGAAGAGCCATTTCCAGTCTGGGAAAACAATGCAGATGTTGATAGACCAGTGAACTGATTCATAATGAGGCAAACTTTCTTATGTCCCTAAACTTTTGAAAAGTAACAAGGGAGGGGGAAAAAACAGCTCGCTTTTTAAAGTGAACCCTCTTATGAAATTCAACAGCCTAAGGAGGAAAAAAAAAATCTTTTGACCCTCATGCTCTCCTTTGACCTTTACCAAGTCCTCAAGAGTTTGAGGAACCCAACTGGGTCAGGAACCATCCCCCCCCTTCTCTTGGTTAGTTGCCCCCTTTGGTCTCTTGCCCCCATTATTGACTTGTGTCATCGGGCTAACAGTTGTGTCTTGAAGCAGTATCGGTGACAACCATTAAAGGGAGTTAGAGCCAGCTTTCTTTGAGTGCTGCAGAATTAATAACCAATGAGAGATGGGCAGTAATGGGGAGGAGGCTCTTTTCTGTCTGTTAGAGAAATTGGTCCTGATTGGAAATGAACTGCATGAATGATGCTAAAAAACTACCATGGAAACGTGGGGAATGGAAGAATTTATATGTTCTGACGTAGGCTTCCTGAGACAGTCAAAAGCACACGATTAGTCCCAAAAACCCTCTTTTTATTTCAACAGCTGTGAATTATTGTTCATTCACAGCCCGTAATGAGTCTCAAGGAGTTCGTAAAGAGTCCAACAGAAGTCTGCCACAGTCCTTCGGGATAAGGCTGATAAGCACCCACCTTTATCTCCCTTGACAAGCTGCCAAAGGCCTAATTGGCAATGAGTTTTGCAAGGCCACATGGAGCACAGAGTCAAAACGGAGCTTCAGAATTTACACCAACCAGCATGAACAAAGTTGCTTCCTGCAAAGGCTCACGTGCCTTTGCTCCTCCTTTATGTCTTATGGGAGGGGCCAATCATCTCCAAGCCCTACTTCCGAGTCGTCCCTTTTGTCTTAACTGTTCTTGCCTTCTGGCATTCTGCGCATGCGCACATTGGGAACAGGCTCCCTCTGTTCCTCTGTCTCGCTGATGTCAGATTCTGGAGGCTCCGGAGTCAGCACATAACTGCCAGATGGCCCTGGCCCCCTCTCTGCCTTCAACGCAGAGCCCTCGTCCAAGCCTTCCCCAGACTCCAGGACTGGCCCATGTTCCTCCCCAGCCTCCTCACTATCTGACTCTGCTGCCAGCTCTGCAGGCTGCCGGCAGATCACAACATTATATTCCTTGCAGACAGCTGGTCAGTTGCATTCTTTTTAGAGAGTCATTGAGGCCACTTGGAGGTTTGTCTGTGTCCTCAGGATCACTTGAGTAGTGCAGGTGTTTGAATTGCACACAACTGGAACCCTTTGCGCTTCAGTTTGAGATGCGGAGAATGCAGACTCATCCCCGACAGCCTGCGTCTGTCTTCAATAGTGAAGGGACACAGAGCAGAAAACTTCCTGCAGCCAAGAAGGCTCCACACCCATTTGCACTATTCAGGTGACCCTGAGGACACAGATAAACCTCCTAGTGGTCTCTTTATATATTTTTATATTTTAAGCCATTAGTATATAAAAAGAGAGCAAACCCCACTCCCTTCTAGCATTGATGATGTTACTAGTTGGGTAGTGAAACATCTACAAGAAAACCACGAAATTTAGAGAGCACCAAAAACCCCACAGTCCTAGTCCTCCTCCTCCTCCTCCTCCTCCTCCAGCACTGATGATGTTACTTAGATTGGTCTGCAAGAAAACAGCCAAACTCAGAGAGCACCTCATCACAGAATTTTCTGACTAAAGATTCTCATTGTTGGGTTTGAATGTGCACTTTGCATCTTTTTGCCTGATTATGCATATTACCTTCACTATAGTTTTGCTACTTTCAAATAATTCTCCAAAACTATTTGCTTTTTTACGTGTCTTGTAGAGATTGTGGGTTTTTTTTCCCCCCTCCTTGGATTTATTTATTTATTGGTTATTTATTGGTTCGATTTATATGCCGCCCTTCTCCGGAGACTCAGGGCGGCTTACAGTGCATTAAGCAATAGCCTTCATACTTTTGTATATACCTGCTTAGTAGGGCTTTCGCCCCCTCCAAGCGGTGTTCTTTTTTATACAAAGTCAGCTTATTGCCCCCACAATCCGGGTCCTCATTTTACCTACCTCGGAAGGATGGAAGGCTGAGTCAACCTTGAGCCTGGTGAGATTTGAACTCACAGTAATTGCAGGCAGCTGGCAGCTAAGTGCTACTTAACAGCACTTTAGTCTGCTGCGCCACCAAGGCTCTTGGATGAAATGCTCTTTGTAGTGAGGAATCACATAAGTAAACAAGTTGTGTAAGATGTGGTTGCTTGAAAGTAATAGTCATGTGGCCTTGGCTTAATAAGACATTTTCTTAGAAAACATATCAAGTGCTCTCCCCCCTCAATAAAATTCTCAATCCTCTTTTTTTTTTTTAATAGAATAGAATAGAATTCTTTATTGGCCAAGTGTGATTGGACATACAAGGAATTTGTCTTTGGTGCATATTCTCTCAGTGTACATAAAAAGACAAGATACATTCATCAAGAATCATAAGGTACAACCCTTAATGATAGTCATAGGGTGCAAATAAGCAATCAAATCATACTAGGAAACAATCAATATAAATCGTAAGGATACAAGCAACAAAGTTATAGTCATGCAGTCATAAGTGGAAGGAGATGGGTGATAGGATCAAAGAGAAGACTAATAGTAATAGTAATGCAGACTTAGTGAATAGTTTGACAGCGTTGAGGGAATTATTTGTTTAGCAGAGTGATGGCGTTTGGGAAAAAACTGTTCTTGTGTCTAGTTGTTTTTGTGTGCAGTGCTCTATAGCGTCGTTTTGAGGTTAGGAGTTGAAACAATTTCTGTCCAGGATGCGAGGGGTCTGTAGATATTTTCACAACCCTCTTTTTGCCTCGTGCAGTATACAGGTCCTCAATGGAAGGCAGTTGATAATAATTGTTTTTTCTGCAGTTCTAATTATCCATTGAAGTCTGTGTCTGTCTTGTTGGGTTGCAGAACCAAACCAGGCAGTTATAGAGGTGCAGTTAACAGACTCAATAATTCCTCTGCAGAAC